ACGACGCGCGCGCGCGACGCGACACACACACACACACACACACACACACACACACACACACACACACACACACACACACACACACACACACGCACACACACACTCATACGCGCATGTACGCGTGTGAAAGAGAGTCATTGACTGTCTCTATAGGACACATATTATCAGGAGTTAATAATGACAAATTTGTCATTATTAACTCCTGATATCATCAAGAGCGTATTAAGAAGGAAGAGCTTCTTAATACGCTCGTGATATCATCTTCCCCTCATTTACAGGGCAATAGTCTGTCCGACCAGCTTATCACTTGATGCCACTGTGTGCCACAAATATAACGACAACCCACGTGACATTTCCACACAAAGGCTCTCTCACTAAACATAATAACATAATACAATACAAGCTATTATATACACGTCCGCGGACATTCTAAAAAGTGATGATTTACTGCACGGACAGATGGCGCTGCGATCGTGCGGTAGACGATCGCTGCTGTAAACAATAGGCAGCGTTGAGATCATTGCGGGAATGGCAAAATTAATTTCAGGCACGTAACCTTCCCGCTGTGCGCTTCCCACGTGATTTCCCACGCAATCACCCAGCCTAGGCGGGAGGCAGATTGATACAGCAACAAGAACAGTAACATCTTTTCCTAACACACAGACATTTCCATTTCGCTGCTGCCATATTGAAAACGCGTTTACGCTTTACAACCGCGTGGCGCGCTAACGTAAAAAATCCACATCGAGAATTTAGAATTTCGCAATTTAGAATTCCACAGTCGATGGTAGGGAATTTGTTTTAATTGTGAAGCCACTATATATAATAATAACGGGCGAAAACTCAGGGAATCTATAGAAATATGTTTCATAGACATTTATCGAGTTAGCACACAAACACTTGATATAGCGCAAGAATATAAATAAATATATATATATATATATACATATATATAAACAAATAAATAAATATATATATATATAATTATATAATTTAGCTGCTACGATAGAACCGTTGACCTTCTATATTACTCCAAAATGTCAAAACGAGCAGGTACGTTGCTTATATGTTATTATAAATATCATTATATCGTTGGTGATTATTGGATATTATTATATATAGCACGTACGTTGCTGCCTCACTCACTGATCGTCCTCTGTTCCATAATACATTTATATATCTACTTATACCTACCTTACTCACTTATCCTCGCGCTCCCTAATAATATCCAATAATCACCAACGATATAATGATATCTATAATAATATATAAGCAACGTACCTGCTAATAATATCCAATAATAACCAACGATATAATAAGAGCTATAACTAGAGCACTCGGAGAGCGCAGACCTCCGCCAAGGCAGTGTTTTTTAGTTAGGCTGTACACAAACAAAGAAACGCACAAACCCACAAACCAACAAACACACGCCGGTGAAAACATAACCTCCTGCCAACCCCTTGGCGGAGGTAATAATATATAAGCTGTTGTTACCTGCTGTTTCCAATGATGAGCAGTTTGAACATGTAATCGAAATTCTGGTCAGCCGCATCTTTCTGCCACTTGCCGTCTGCTTGTGCTGCCATCTGCAAAACAAGAGGCGGCGCGTGAAATAAACAGCATGAGTACCGCACGAACACACAACACACGCGCGCACGCGCGCACACGTCCTATTATCTTATTGCGTCCGATTATAACATATGCTGACACATCAAAAATGACGTCGAAAATGTAGAGTAAAAACTCGGCCTGCTGTAGGACTCCGCATTAAATAAAATTACACATTCCGGTTAAAGTTCAACTTGTGCAGTTAAATAAATAGCTACATATTAAGCATATTTCGACAGATAAATACCTTTATATATTTTATTAAACAACTTCAATAATTTTATCCTATTTCCGGTTCCGGTCAATTCCCGATTCCGGTGAGCCCCTATAAATCCGGTTTGAAGCTAAATACCCAGCATTCACGATTGCTTCCCGTGTAGTCGATTCTTATATTGCTTCTACGCAAGCTTTATTTGCTGTATACACACCTGCACTTGTGCACACACAGTCGCCACAATTACTGACAGCCTCATCGGTTGCTGAATGAAGAAGATAACGGGGACGAGAGGAGGGAGAAGGAGAGAGAGAGAGACATAGAGAGAAGGGGGGAAGGAGAGAGAGAGAGACATAAAGAAAGGGGGAGAAGGAGAGAAAGAGACATAGTGAGAAGAGGGGAAGGAGAGAGAGAGAGAGACAATAATCACAAGAGAGAGGGAGAGAGAGACAGAGAGAGGGGGAGAGAAAGGAGGGAGAGACATAGAAAGAGAGGAGCATAGATAAGACAGGGAAGAGAACAAGGGCGAGACATAGAGAAGAGGGGAGGCGATGAGAGTAAGGAACATATATATAGAGTATAGATAAAGAGAAGAGAAGAGAGAGAGGGGAGAGGAGAAAGAAGACATAGGTGAAGGGGGCAGATGAAGAGAAAGCGCATAAATAAGAAGATGGGGGAGGAGATGAGATGAGAGAGAGAGAGAGAGAGAGTAGAGAGAGACGAGCGAGAGAGAGAGAGAGAGATGAGAGAGGAGAAAGAAGAGGAGATAAGAGAGAGAGAGAGAGAGACGAGAGAGAGAGATGTAGATTACCGAATAGAATAACATATGTGTGCGTCAAGGACATAGATTGGAATATCTGGCAATGGGAGAGTGGCTGAAATATTCGCGAATGTATTATTTTAATGACAGGTGACTGTGACAAACTAATGGCCGTGCCTCTTTGTCCAAGAGTGATTGCCTAGCATATGACAAGGCACCACGAGGTGATGTAGTGGGCGAGAGCCGAATTAAGAGACGAAAAGAGCAGAATAGTGGAGATGAGAGAAGAACAGAGAGAAAGAGAGAACAGAGAGCGCGAGAGAGAGAGATAGGCGAGAGAGAGAGAGAAGAAGAAAATCGAGAAGAGAGAATCAGCATGAGAGAGAGAGAGAGAGAGAGAGAGAGAGAGAGAGAGAGAGAGAGAGAAACAGCAAGAGACGAGAAAGAAGAGGAGAGACGAGAATCACAGAGAGAGAGAGACACACAGCGCGAGAGAGAGAGAAAGAAGAGAGCGAGAGAGAGAGCGAGCGAGAGAGAGAGACAAAGAAGAGAGCGCGCGGAGAAGAGAGGTATTAATGCGTACGTTGCGCAACGGAGAACAAGAGAGAAAGGGGAGATAAGAGAATAGAGAGAGCGAACATCGGAGATGAGAAGCACGAGATAGGGGTGGGAAATAAGAGATGGCATGAAAGCGAGATCAAACGAGTGTGGCGAAGAGAAGAGAAATAGTTAACAAGAGAGAGCGCGCGGAAAGCAGAGCGAAGAGCGAGAGAGGCAGAAAGAACAGAACAGTAGAGAGAGTAAGAGGAGACGCCGAGAGAGCGAGAAGCGAGGTGAGAGAGATAGAGAGCACACACACACACACAGTGCACACAATACACACATCACACACACAGGCCAGGCTCACATACAGAGAGAGAGAAGAGAGAGAGAGAGACGAGAGAGAGAGAGAGAGAGGAGAGAGACCGAAGCGAGAGACGATGCGCGCGCAGGAGATGAGAGCGAGAGCAGAGAGAGAGAGAGGAGAGAGAGAGAGGAGAAGAGATGAGAGACAAGCGAGAAAAAGAGCGAGAGAGAGCGCGCGCGCAGAGAGAGAGAGAGAAGTAGCGCGCGCCAGGCGGGAGAGAGAGAGGAGAGAGAGAGAAAAAGAGAGAGAGGAGAGAGCGCGGCGGAGAGAGAGAGGAGAGCGCGCTGGGAAGAGAGAGAGAGAGAGAGATAGCGATGAGCTCGAAGGCCATGCTCGGTTGATGTAGACTGTAGAGGCTATCCACCGTCTCACCCTTTCTTGCTATGTCTGTCTCTCACACACACGCTCTTATATGTGTCTCTCTACCGCCCCGCTCTCTCTACTCTCCTGCCTATATATATTACTGATCACGTGTGTGTGTGTGTGTGTGTGTGTGTGTGTGTGTGTGTGTGTGTGTGTGTGTGTGTGTCGCTCTCCCCCTCCCCCTCTCTCTCGCCCATCTCTGCCCCTCTCTTTGTATCTCCCTTTCGCTCCATCTCTCTCCCTTTCTCTCACCCTTTCTCGCTCTCTCTCCCTTTCTCCCTTTCTCTAGCTCCCCTTCTCTGCTTATCTATCTCGCTTGCTCTCTCTCTCTATCTCTCCCCTTTCTCCCTCTCTACAACACGAATACACAGATGTTCTGCTTTCGATCGTATAAGATTAATGTCATCATTCGCTGAAAGACCGCACCCACTGTCAGTGCGAATGTAATAACGTCTACTCGTCGCCTATATATAACAAACGAGAAAGGCTAGCGCAAAACGCTGCCTTGTGGGGATGTATGTATATGTAGCTGTGATGGAATATAGCTGGCGGGAAACACACAGACGACAGTAATTAAATATCGTATGGTAGATAAAGCTAGCAATTAACTCGCTATCATGAAGTGAAATGGCCGCCAGCCGAAAAACTGTTTCCACTCTTCTGCTTCCTTTCTCGTCACTCTCGCTGGCTCGCCCGCTCTCTCTCCTTCCCCTCTCCCGCTCGCCCGCGCTCTCGCGCTGTCTCTCGCTCTCTCATCATCATCAGCAGCAGCAGCATCAGCAGCAGCAGCAGCATCTTCCCACACAATACCTTCATGATCACAGCGTCTACTCGTTACCCGTTTACTGTTTACCGTTCAGCGTTGTTTAACGTTATTTATGGGTGCGTCGGGGAGTGCGCTCGTTTTTTCGATTTACGCGAAACGCACATATATAAGCTATACGACTCCAGCACCGCTCGTAAAGTATGACGATATTACCCTGCCTGCATGCTGCCTGCATGCTGCCTGCATGCTGCCTGCATGCTGCCTGCATGTCCTCTTCGATATATATCAAGAGTAGATAATATAACTATAGTTATTATTACTATTATAATAAATATAGTTATTATCTACTCTTGATATATATATATATATATATATATATATATATATATATATATATATATATATATGAGAGAGAGAGAGAGAGAGAGAGAGNAGAGTGAGCAAAGACACACACACACACGCACGCACGCACGCACGCACGCACGCGCGCACGCACGCGCGCGCGCACACACACACACACACACCCACGCACACACACAAAGAGAGTGAGTGAGAGTGAGAGAGAGAGTGTGTGTGTCGGTGATACAATTATCGATTATAAAACGTGTGTTAACACGCGGCAGCCAGCCGAAACTATTAGATGTTACTAAACTGTAAATGCACGTAATTTTAAACCACAGTTCCACGACTCCGCAGGCAAACTGCATGCAGCGCCCCCTTCGTACAACTCATGATACAGAAAATGAGCCAGAGCGAGAGCGCCATCTGTCGTGGAGTTTGCTCCGCAGGGTGCAATAAGATGAGAGACCATCATATATACGTACATTTATTATTATCCGCAATTGTCGTCGATCTTTTTTAAAAACGATACATATCAATACATAAAGGACACACATGGGGTTCACTTTTGGGGGTTCCATTATATAGACGGTTATATAGGATTGATCGTAACGCACATATTACACACGTATATATATATATACATTAGGTGTATATCTAAAACCACAGCTCTGAGCACGCAGAAGTGAGGGCAGCATAAAATAACATAAACCAACAAGGTAAGGTACATTATACTCTCTACATTGTACTCTGTTGGGTGTCATTCTTGTATCTAGTTTCCACTTTGTAAGCGTGCTACCACTGCGCCACCGCGCAAGCTGGCAACGACGTGTACTACATTGGTTAATGGTATAGTCGCTTCGATACACAGGTATGCTATTTTTAGCCAGTGTTATATAAAACGGCTTCAAATTCAACTTTATCCTGTTTTCATCATTGCAAAAGTGCGCCAATATTACTCTATGAGTGGTAATGCATCGTTTACAGTCAAGCAATTTCAAATCATGCGAGCAGATTCAGAGAACATAGCTCCACAGCGCAAGCTGTCAACAACACGTACTATATTGGTAGTGACGTCGATCGATATACCGGTATGGTATCGGTAGACCAGTGTTAAATAAAACGGCTTCAAATTCAACTTTATCTAGAGGGAGAGTAACATACAGCACGCTAAAATAATGCTGACGTAATACCTCCCAATTAAAAAAAATTAAACTAATTGGAAAGGGGAGGTGGGAACACAAAAGGAGCTCTTGTTTATGAGAAAAGGAAACATTTTAATAATCTCGTCGGTGACATCGATCTCCATGCTAACATCGTCCTTTCTCGTCTGCTGTCAGTGTCACGGTAATTCATGACATTGTAGCATCGTAAAGTTTAATCACGCCGGGGCCCGTTGTCAGAAACTTCGTAAAGTTACGATTAATTTTAAGACTAATGTTAATGTTGTAAATAACAATAACTTACGTAACTAAACTTACTTAAGTGAAAACTTACGATAACAGAAACTTCATCACAAGGCTGCTGATTGGATGAGAATCGATCACAAAATTCAAATTCATACACATTTATTGTACATCACAGTAATTTATGCATATTATGATGGCTAACCACATATAAATAATATTT